CCCACAGCCTGGGCCGGAGCCAGCAGCCTGCCCCACCCAGGTGAGTGGGGTTCATACCAGCCAAACCGTGGCCCGCAGGGAAGGAAACCAGAATGCCTGGGGAGGGCCCCCTCCATTCCGCTCCCTGTACCCCCCCTCCTCCTATTCCTCCAGCATTGGGGAAACCCCCATCCGCTGCCAGGGCTTACCTCCTAAATCAAGGGCCAGAAAATATGCCTTCAGCAAACCCTGAGCAAGGCAAGAGGCCCCTCTCTGTTTGCCTCTCTCCTAGGGCCCTCCCCTCCCCCATTGGTAGAGCAACCCCCTCAAGGAGAGGTTGGCTAGGAGAGGGGAGGCTGGAGGGATCCCCAGGATTGCCCACCATCCCCCACCCCCCCCAAAGGGAGGGCTGGGAAGGGGGGGTCACACGGGTCGTGAACATAGTGACCCACAGAGGCCGACACTGCCCTTTGCCCAGGGAGGCACAGGTGAATGGACATGTGACCTGGGCTGCTGAGGTGGCTGAGAGCCAGGACCCAAGCCTGGAGCTCCAAAGGGACCCTGGGCTTCCCCTGCCAATGACCCCAGGCCTGTGTGGAGGGGGAAATTGGGTGGGTTTGGGGGGGTCCCCGAAAGGTTGGGCCATCAGGTTTACTTCCTCCATTCCCCTCTGCAGGGAGCCCCCAGCCAGGACCCCTTCCGGTGGCCTGAAGCCTCGACACCCTGCACCTCGGCGTGTGGTCTGGAAGCTACACCAGGCCCTCCAGCCACAGAGGAGCGCCAGCCGAGCCCCCGCTACGGGTCGGCCTCTCCGGGTCGGCCCCTGCCGGCACTTGGGCCCCCGCAGGCCCCGAGCCCAGCTCCTGCGGGTGGGCTGTGTGCTGGGCACCTGCCAGGTGCAGAACCTCAGCCACCGCCTCTGGCAGCTGGTTGGGTCAGCCGGCCCACGGGACTCAGCCCCCGTGGACCCCAGCAGCCCCCACAGCTACGGCTGACGCGGAGCTGGCCATAACCATGCCTGGCCCCGCTGGGATGCTGCACCTCAACCCCAGAGCTGCATCTGGGCCCCCAGCCCCCACCCAGCCCCCACCCGGCCCCCTGGGCCTCCTGCACACCTCGGTAACCAGGGTGCAGGCCCTGGAGGCAACTCCCAGCCCACCCCACCCCCACCAGTTTCTGTAGCAAGCAATCTTAAATAGCTTTGGATGCGGAAACCCACGCACATGTGTAGACCCAAGGAGATCTGCAGGCAGAGTCTGTACCCCCGAAAAGGGTTTCAGAGGGGCACGGTCCGCCCAAGGATGTGGAGCAGAAGCCAGGGTCCTGAATACCCAGGGCCATGCTGGGCAAGCACCAGTTGGCCCAGCATGACCCCGTCCCCCATCCCCATCGCCCCGGTCCTGACAGCATCAGATTCAACCCTGGCTTTGGGCATGCACACTTTGCCTGTCCCAGGTCCCCAGCCTTTCCACTCCCTGTGCCCTTGAGACTGGGAAGGTGGCAGGGAGGAGGGCCCCACTGTGGTCCCTGTTCCCAGGGCCAGGGTAAATGGAGGACAGGTCTGCTGGGAGCTGTGTTCTCTGGAGCCTCGGGGCTCCAGGTGAAAATGGAGACCCTCCCTGGATCTCTAGCCAGGTAGCCGGGGAGCCTGGGAGAGGGCGTAGAGGTTCTGGAGGCACACTGAGGCATTTGGGGGCCGGGCAGCCCAGAGCAGACTGCCCCTTCCCATCCCTCAGGGCAGGGTGGGGCTGGGTGGGGGCAAGATCTCCCAGCTCAAATTGGTCAATGAGGTCAAAACCATCACCACCTCAAGTGGGGTGGGAGGGCCAGACAAGGGTAGGGGGCGCCGCAGGCAACAGAGTCTCCCTGACCCCACCCTGCCCAGCTTGGGAACCCACTGAGGGCAGGCTCAGGGACAGCAGGAGGCTGGAGCAGGCTTGTCGAGAATTTGGGGAGGTAGATTGCCCTTTAAAGGTTAGAACAGGATCTCTGGCCCCTTCTGGTGTATATCACCCCAGGTCAGGCCTTTGCGTGTTGTGATCCCTGAGCCTTTGCTAGTCCCTCATCACTGACACCCCCATGTCATATGGGCGTGACCCAGCGTTCAGAAAGGTGGCTTCTTTTTCTTTCTTTCTTCTTTTTTTTTTTTTTTTTAAAGATTTTTAGTTTATTTATTTGAGAGAGAGAGAGTACAGAGAGAGAGGGAGAGAAGCAGGCTTCCCGCCGAGCAGGGAGCCTGATGCGGGGCTCGATCCCAGGACCCTGAGGTCATGACCTGAGCCAAAGGCAGACGTTTAACCATCGGAGTCCCCCAGGTGCCCCAAGAGAAAGGTGGTTTCTAGTACTCGGCAAACACTCATAACAGCACCTAATCTGTCAACATCTGTTGGTCACCCTGTGAGGAGAGCACTATCGTTCTCCCACCTCTAGAAGCAGAAACCGCAGCCACAGACATCAGGGGTGCTCTGGGTTGCTGGCAGGCCTGCCCCTCAGAGACCCTGGGCCCCCCAAGTGTGGGAGGCTCCTGGAACTCCCATGTGGGCTCCCACCCTCGTACTTGCTCTTCTGGCTTGGGAATCACCTGGCCAGGTAAGGCATCTTCCCTCCATTAGGCCCTGTGAGGACAGTTCCGGCGGGTTCCTGCCCTGCAGTGAGAGTGGTTCATGTTGTGTGGGAAGCAGAGCAAGGCAGGCAGGAAAGGCTGCCTGGAGGAAGCGTAGGTCTGAGGTTTGCAAGGGTCCCAGGGGGAAGGAGCTTAGAGTGCCAAGGCCCCAAGGCCACAGGAGGAGTGGGTGTGGCTGGGGACTGCCCCCCCCAAAGCAGCTAAGAGACGCTGGAACCAGAGTGAGTGAGGGCAGGAGAGGCCAGTGGGCCGGGCCTCAGAGCCACCGAAGGGTGTCAGCAGGGCAGGCAGGGAGAGCTGGCAGTGAGGACCTGGCGAGGGGGACCGGGGAAAGAGGAAGATGAGGGGTCTAGGAGGGTCAAATCTGGACAGTTAGGAGCGCCACGTGGCCAAGACCCGCCCCCCCAGGCTCCAGTCCTTGGCCTGTGTGTGGTCTGGTCTTCCGCACAGGATGTTCTTTCTGCCGAGAGCACCCCCCACACTGTCCCATCCAATTGGTCAGAGCTTCCAGACCCCCAGGATCCCATGCCCTGTACCCTTGCTGGGCCATTCCAAAGTGCGGGTGGATTTTCCTCAAAGCAGGATGGACTGCTGACCTCAAGGCATCCCTGTGCTGTGACATGTGGCATCCTCCCGGCCCCTGAGCTCCAGGCCACGCCGGGGCCACCTACCTGATGCCCCACTTGGACTTTCAGTGGCAGCACCCGAGCTCCTCCAGAGCACACCCACCAGCCACATCTTCCTCAGACAAATGCTGTGGGCTGGTCATTTTCTCCTTTTTCTGTCCAAGCCACCACCTGCTTTTGGGGTGATGGCTCCAGTCACCTCCCTGGAGCCCCCTCCATCCCTTCAGCATTGTTTGCTGAGCATTCGAGAAATATTAGCGATTACCCCCCCACCTGACATCCTAGTGGGAGGAGGCAGAAGGAGAAGAATCTCAAAGGTAAAATAAGCAGATGACAGCACGTGTCAAGCCCTGGGAGAGTCCTGAAGGCAGCTTGCACTTCGCTATTTTATTTTATTTTTTAAAAGATTTTATTTATTCCTTTGAGACACACAGCTACAGAGAGAGAGAGAGAGAGAGAGAGAGAGTGCATGAGCAGGGGGAGTGGCAGAGGGAGCAGACTCCCTGCTGAGCAGGGAGCCCAAACGGGGACTCGATTCCAGGACCCTGGGATCATGACCTGAGCCGAAGGCAGATGCTTCACCAACTGAGCCACCCAGGTGCCCCCCGAACTTTGCCATTTTAAGTGGGGGGCCCCAGCACCCCCCCAGTTTATTCTCAGCACAGGCAGGAGCAGGGCCCCACCCCCACAGCCTTCTTGCCTCAGTGAAGCTGAGTAGGTGCTCTGACCCGCACACCACCAGGTGGAGACTGACACCTTGAGTGTCACCCACTGCCCTCGGGCCACCTCCAGACTTCCCAGACCTGACCATACTCAGACGCCCCCACTGTCTTTCTCAAGAGCACCGGCCTTTCCCATAGGCGACAATGACTTGTTTTGCTCTGTGTCTGCTTCCTCCTTGGGGAATGTCAGCTCCCAGGAAGGTGTATGTATCAGTCAGGTCCCTGCTGCGTCTTTGGTGCCCAGCTCGGGTCCATGCAGTAAATGCCGGCTGAATTCATCTCTGCCCTGACTCCGGATGGAGCCTCTCACCTCAAATGCCAGACAAAGAGCCCACCCTTGACCAAACCAGCCAGGCGGCTCCTCTAGGCCTCACCCAGTATTAGCAAGAATCCCCACCCCCGCCCTTGAGATCTGATCACCTGGCAGCCCTTTTAGCAAGAATCCTGTAAGCCGGTTTAGCAAGAATCCCCCCACCCTTGATATCAGCCCTTAGCAATTTTCCATCCCCTGACCCCACTCTGCTTACTGGCAGTCAGTCCCTGGCTGTCTTTACTTTTGTCGGATTCTCTCTCCCCTATTGCAATAGTGGTGAATAAAGTCTTTCACTCCCATTTAGCAAGTGTCAGAATAACTTTTCTTATAAGCCCCTGCCCTTCCCAGAATCCCAAGGGCCTGAGGCTGATGGGTGGGGTCTGGGGTCTGCATGACCTGTTGGGAGGGGCCTACTGTGGGCCGGGAGGTGTTTAAAACCCTTGGGGGAAGCGCTGGAGGCTGGCAGCGCACTCCGGCCTTCCAGTCCTAGTCAGGTCAGTCGCCCAGGGAGGCTGAAGTCAGGGACAGAGGGCTGGGGCTTGGGTCGGGGTGCTGGGAGCTGCTTCTGTGCTGACACATTAACTTCTGAGGCCAGGAGGACGGTGGATGGTCACTCATTACCGAGGGCCAAGGCCAAGGGGCTGGGTGGTGTCCGGTCTCTTATGTAACCTGTGGGCATATATAGGGGCACACAGCCCGTGGGACTCTCCCCCACCTGCCAACTCTACTCCCTCAAGATGAAGATGAAGGTGGCTGTGGTGAGTACTCCAGGCCCAGCGTAGATGTGGCCCCACAGACTGCTCACTCAGGGGCTGGTTGTCCCTCATGGGAAGGAGCAGCAGCCCCCCACCCTCTCCCAGCTGGTTCCCGCCAGTCTGCTGGTCCCGGTCAAAGGGCTCCCTCCTTCCTGTCTTTCTCCTGCAGTTTAGGTTTAGCTGGGGCAAGGGTCAGCAGCCCCACCCTTGGGCTCCCTGCAGACCCAGGTCCTGAGGAGATGCTGGGTGCTGGTGCTGTGCGCCCCCACACAGCATCCCGTGCACCCCTGCATCACTCTGGAAGCAGGCATCTGGCTGACCTCCACTTTGCAGAGAAGGACACCCAGAGCGAGTTTGCCTCCGATGGCCGGTGTGCCTGGGAGGGGCTGTGCCCTGCTGTCTGCCAGCCTCGCTGCTGATCCATCTCTTAGGCTCTGGTGTCCCCATGGGGATGTCCCCGCTTCCTCATGGAGCTGGCATCATGGTGAAATGGGTTTAATCACCCACCCAACCAGGGCCCAGACCCTTCCCTGGTCTACCGGCCTGATGTGGACCCAGAGGTAGCCAAAGACAAGGGCAGCTTCCGCAACTACACGGTAAGGGCCCCACCCCGGCCCCGCCCCAACCCCACCCCAGCCCCATCTTTCTCCGGAGAGGGCAGCACCTGCCCCTTTGTACAGCTCCAGGTCCGCCCTTGGACGCCCCCATTCATATCTTTGGGGCCAAGCTTGGGAGACCGGAGCAGTGGGCCCCACAGGTGTGAAGGGCAGGGATTGAGCCTCCTGGCTAACCCTCTGGCTTGCAGTCTGGCCGACTCCTGGACCGTGTCTTTGCCACGTACAAGCTTATGCACACGCAGCAGACCGTGGACTTCGTCAGGAAAAAGGTACTTGGCAGCTTCCTCTGCTGCCAGTTCCCACCTCCCCAGGCTTAATGGATGGATGGAGAGGGACTGGGCCCTGATCTAGCCAACCCCGTGGCTATGCTGACCTCCCCTTCCTGGTCTAGCACACCCAGTTTGGGGGCTTCTCCTACAAGAAAATGACCGTCTTGGAAGCTGTGGACATGCTGGACAGGCTGGTGGACGAGTCGGACCCAGACGTGGACTTCCCCAATTCCTTCCATGCCTTCCAGACCGCCGAGGGCATCCGGAAAGCCCACCCTGACAAGGGTGCACCTCCCTTCCGTGGTGGGCTGCAGTGGGAGGGCAAATGGGTCTTGGCCCTTTCCTGGCCTCACCCCTGAGCCCCAAGCCCCGTCCTCCTCCTCTGCCCCGGTCTTGCCACCCCCAGGCACTAGCCTGCTCTGTCCCTCTCCCTTCCAGACTGGTTCCATCTCGTGGGGCTGCTGCATGACCTGGGGAAGGTTCTGGTTCTGGCAGGGGAGCCCCAGGTAAGGGCAGGGGTGGAGGGGTGCAGCAGGGTGAGGCTGGGACAGCCTGGGCTCAGGGCTCTGGAAACCCGCCGTGTGGGCAGGCCAGTCACACCCACCGTGGCTGCGTGTCCGCAGTGGGCGGTCGTTGGAGACACCTTCCCAGTTGGCTGCCGTCCCCAGGCCTCTGTGGTTTTCTGCGACTCCACCTTCCAGGACAACCCGGACCTCCAGGATCCTCGATACAGGTACTGCTCCCCCCGCTGCTGGTCCTCCTCCCCACGTTGCTCCCGCGCCCCTCACCCTCTATCTTTCCCTGCAGCACGGAGCTCGGCATGTACCAGCCTCACTGCGGCCTGGAGAACGTCCTCATGTCCTGGGGCCATGACGGTGAGGCCAGTTAGGCGGGCCGTGGGGACGATGGGGACCACGGTGGGCGCCACGGCTCTGGGAGCCCGGGGGTCACACCGTGTCTCCCACAGAGTACATGTACCAGATGATGAAGTTCAACAAATTCTCTCTTCCCCCAGAGGTAGGTGGAGGGGAGAGCCCAAGCCAAGAGCCCCGCCCCGCCCCGGCGAGCCCCGCCTCGCCCCGCCCCGCCCCTCTCGCCCCGCCCTCCTGGAGCGTGCTGGGCGTGGCTTCCCTCTGCCCTCAGGCCTTCTACGTGGTCCGATTCCACTCCTTCTACCCTTGGCACACGGGGGGCGACTACCGGCGGCTGTGCAGTGAGCAGGACCTGGCCATGCTTCCCTGGGTGCAGGAGTTTAAGTACGGCCATCCCTGTGGGGGCTGGCGGAGGGAGGGACGAGGGGACTGGAGGGGCGGGGGCTTCCTCACAGGGCGCGGTCCCTCCCCTGCTGCAGCAAATTTGACCTCTACACCAAGAGTCCCGAGCTGCCAGATGTGGACGCGCTGCGGCCCTACTACCAGGGCCTCATCGACAAGTACTGCCCTGGTGTGCTGAGCTGGTGACCAGCCTGGCCAGGTACCCGAGGGGACGGCCACTGTCCCGGGACTCACATGCACACCTAAGTCAGCGCTCCGTGCCCTGACCACTCTGCCCAGTGCCAATAAAGACATTGAAGCAGCCTGTGAGCCCGAGCTTCACTGGGATGGGGGCCTGTCGTGGCAACAGGGCACTCTGCGCCGGGAGGCAGGACGTGGCCCCTTGGACACGTGTGTCCCGTCACGCCTGCCACCTTAAACCTGTTGCTCACCATTCCAGCTCTGGCATCAGAACCTGGGGTCGCCCTATCTGTCCTCACATTCCCAAAACAGTCACCAAGTGTTCTGGGCTCCGTGTCCCTAAGAACAAGATGAAGCAAAACATTCGATAGCTAGAAAAACAGATTGCAGAAAACCTCCTCGTATAACAGATGCATGGGTTAAGTGCAGCAAACCTAAGGCATGAACAGCCCCATAGGGCCCTCCCCGTGCCCCGAGGTGCGCCCACATCTTGGGTTAGCCAGTAACCTCCTTCGTATGAGTCCCCCCCGGCCCCCGCCCCAGCACATGTCCCTCAGTGCTGCGGTTTAGCGCTGGCTTCCTCCCTGCCTTCTAGCAGCTTATTTCTTGGAAGAAAGTGATCATTTGTCTCAAGGAGTTTCCTTCTGTTGATGTTTTGCTAATTGCATCCCTGTGGTGTTAACATTTCTTGGGTATTTCCTGCTAATTGGTAAATGCATAGAGAGGCTTAATCAGATTCAGATTTGGCCTGTCAGGGGCAAGAGTGCTTTAGAGGCTGTGGCATATTCTTGATCCGGTCGGCATAAGCTGTGTTGTTGGAAGTCACCTAGTTCAGATTAGAACATGAGAAGGCAGAGTGGTGACGTTCCGGCCCCCCGGCCACCCTTCTCACTCATCTGAGAGAGAGCCAGGCAGTAGGGAGAAGTGCTATTTGGTTAGTTCCTATAGGAAAGGCGAGTGAAGGCTCCAGTCCTCCTCTTACAGTTTGCAAGAGTTAGCTCCTAGCACCATGCAAAGGTGATCCATTTGTCTGTTTTGTGTTAAGAATGTGTAGATTTCAGGGCGCCTGGGTGGCTCAGTTGGTTAAGCGACTGCCTTCGGCTCAGGTCATGATCCTGGAGTCCCTGGATCGAGTCCCGCATCGGGCTCTCTGCTCGGCAGGGAGCCTGCTTCTCCCTCTGACCCTCCCCCCTCTCATGTGTTCTCTCTCTCTCTCTCATTCTCTCTGTCTCAAATAAATAAATAAAATCTTAAAAAAAAAAAAAAGAATGTGTAGATTTCAGCCGGACTCCTCGGCCAGGGTTGGGGTGGAGCTTCCAGATCCTCCTGATGGCTCCTAGGTCCTCCTGACATGACAATGGTCTCTGGTGGGTATCCCACTGTCTGGTGTGACAAGACACCCAAAGTGGGTAATTCCCTGTGTTTTTGTAACAAATTACCACACATTTGGTGGCTTAAAACAAAAATGGGTTCTCCCGAGTTCTGGAAGCCAGAAGTCAGATCCTGGTATGGTGTTGGGCAGGCCTGTGATCCCTCCATGGGCTCCAGGGAGGGTCCCTCCTTGCCTCTTCAGCTGCAGGGCTGCCTGCGTCCCCTGGCTTGTGACTGCGCCTCCCTGCTGTCTTCACACGGCTTCTCCGCCCATCGGCGCCCCTCTGCCTCGCTCTATAGGGACCCTGTGATGGGCCCATCCGGGTAACCCAGGATGATCTCATCTCCAGATCCTTCACTTAATACATCTGCAAGATGCTTTTCCTAAATAAGGTTGTGTTCACAAATTCCAGGGATTTGATGTGCACATCTGTTGGGCAGCTGTTTGTTCCCAAGCCCCTCGGGAGCTTCCCAGTTGTAACCTGCAACCAGCCTTCATACTCAGAGGGCAGGGAGTCATGGAAGAGACAGGCCACTGCAGATGGGTAGGTGGCAGGTTTCTGAGCAAGGGAGCTTACAAGGCTTGTCTTGGGCGGTCACAAGACAAGTAGATCTTTGCATTTGCCCGCTAGAGTCTTAAAAGTTTAGGGGCGCCTGGCTGGCTCAGTCAGTAGAGCGTGTGGCTCTTGATCTCAGGGTTGTGAGTTTGAGCCCCACGTTGGGTGTAGAGCCTACTTAAACAAGGATAGAATCTTGAAAGTGTGTCCAGAGGCCTTAATGGGGTCCAGTCACACACACCATGCGGAGGGGCTCGACACCACATCGCTGTCTCAAGGCTGTGTTCTTGGAGCAACTTCCGGGGGCGGGGAAGGCAAGTGGGGTGCACACTGCAAAGGTGGGGGGGGGTGAGCTCACGGGTCTATCGGCAGTAGCATGTTCTCTGTGGCCTTCCCCAGCAGGGGCTATTTCCCGGCTCACCACAGAGGTTGCCCCAGACCTGGAATCTGCCGTTTCTCCTGGTGTGGCCACTGGACGTGGCGGTGTTGGCAGCTGCCCTCACTGCCCTGCTCCTCCCATGGACCTCCGCACCTGCTGAGTGCTGGCATCAGGAGAGCATGGGCTCAAATGTGTCAGAGACTTGCTCCCGGCCACCAGTTCACATGCGCTTCCTTCTGGAAGATTGCGACCTGCCCTGGGCAGCCTCCCCGGGCATGGGGGACCTCCCCACACTCCCTCTCAGCCTGTGAGCTCAGGCAAGGCAGGTGCAGAGTGCTGAGGGGGTCCCTCCCTAGAGCTGCATCATGGGGTGCTGGGGGGGCACTAGAGAGGCTGGAAGGAAGGGTCCTGGGTGACGGGCCATTGAGGGTGTCCTGAGGCCTTTCTGCCTTCTCCAAAGAGGCTGGGGTGGGGAAGGGAGGTGCTCAGCAGCCTGCTTCTCTGGGTCCAAAGTTACTACCCTGATCTATCCCTGAAGAGGCTCCCCAGTGTGCAGAGTAGGAGAGGCCATCTTTGCTCCTGTCCCAGGATCCCCAGACGCTCTCTGTGCCCCTTGCAGTCCGTAACCAGGCCATCTCCAAAAGCCCCAGGGTAGGGGGAGGGCAGTGGGGGCCAAGGTCCCATATTTCTGTCCACCCAGGGGACTGTCAGGCCTCACTGGGCTCCAGGAGCCTGAAGCTCCAGGGCATTGAGGCAGCTTGGCTCTCCTCCAGCCTGCTGGCATTCCTGCCCCTGAACCCTCCCCCTGCTGCAGGCGGCCCTCCTCCCGCTCTAGCAGACTGGTTCTGCCTATTCCTGAGGCCTGGGGCTCAGCCTCCTAGCACCCTTCCAATCTGTCCTGTTTCTTTTCTTTCTTACTTCCTTTTTTTTTTTTTTTTAAGATTTTATTTGTTTGGGGGTGCCTGGGTGGCTCAGTCGTTAAACGTCTGCCTTCAGCTCAGGTCATGATCCCAGGGCCCTGGGATCGAGCCCCACATCGGGCTCTCTGCTCCGCGGGAAGCCTGCTTCTCCCTCTCCCATTCACCTGCTTGTGTTCCCTCTCTCGCTGTGTCTCTCTCTGTCAAATAAATAAATAAAATCTTAAAAAAAAAAAAAGATTTTATTTGTTTGAGGGTGAGGAAGTGTGAGCCCAAGCAGGGGGAGCTGCAGGCAGAGGGAGAAGCAGGCTCCCCACTGAGCAGGCAGCCCAACGTGGGGCTCGATCCCAGGACCCTGAGATCATGACCTGAGCCAAAGGCAGACGCTTAACTACTGAGCCACCCAGGCGCCCCCCCAACATTTTCTTTAATGTACAGAATTAATTAATTTATTTATTTATTTTAAGATTTTTTTTTTAAATTTATTTATTTGACAAAGAGAGACACAGCGAAAGAGGGAACACAAGCAGGGGGAGTGGGAGAGGGAGAAGCAGGCTTCCCACTGAGCAGGGAGCCCAACGTGGGGCTCGATCCCAGGACCCTGAGATCATGACCTGAGCTGAAGGCAGACGCTTAACCGACTGAACCACCCAGGCGCCCTAGAGAATTTCTCAGTTTAATTTCCAACGTGGTGAATATTGATAGATATATCCCTCATAAGCAAAAGCCCTTTGGGGTCCTCAATAATTTTTAAGAATGTAAAGGAGTCCTGAGACCCGATGACCCGGTCCTTGGACGCCAGTAGACTTCCTTTTGGGGGAACCACAACACTTGCTGCATGAGCTCCGGAGGGCAAAAGTGGGGGCCACCTGTGAGTGCAAGCACGTGTAGCTTTCTCAGCAAACCCAGGGGCCACCAGCAGGCCAGTCCAGAGCCCACAGCCTGTACCTCCTGCAAGGGCAGCCGTCAACCACCATGGTGGGTGCTGTCTGTGATGTTGGGTGGTGATTTGTCATCATGGACACCCTGTTGTGTGTGCTTGGACGTGCTGTCCTTGTCCCCTGTGCTTCCCCCAGCATCGCTGTGCGCTGCCTCGTGAATGCCCGCCACCAGGGTACCCTGCTCAACACTGCCTCTGGCCAAAGCCATTCTCCAGAGTGAAAGATGCAAAGCAGAGGCTGCTGTGTGGGACCCTGACTCAAGGATCGGCTGATATGATGGAGCCGACGGTTGAAGACCCAGCCGTGGTGCCAGCTTGTGGACGATGCCCCTGTGGTGAGCCTGGTGGAGTGTCCAGGAGCCGTCTGGTGCACCCGGGTGTCTGTCACGCCTGCGCCCAGGGCCCCCCGGTGACGCTGCTGTGGCCTGTTCTGGTGACACTGGCTAAAGCTGCATTGTGGAACGTGGTTCTTTTTTTTTTTTAATTTTTTTTTTTAAGATTTTTTTTTTTTTATTCATGAGAGACAGAGCGAGAGAGAAAGGCAGAGGGAGAAGCAGGCTTCCCACGGAGCAGGGAGCCCGATGCAGGACTCGATCCCAGGACCCTGAGATCATGACCTGAGCCGAAGGCAGACGCTCAACCATCTGAGCCACCCAGGTACCCATGGAACATGGTTCTTAAGGGAGCGATACTTTTTCCCCGAGACGCAGCAGTGCTTCTCTGGAACGGGACGTGGCTAAGCGCAAGGCTACACCCGGTGCCTCTGCTACGGGATGAGCAGGCCAGCGCGGTGGGAGTGGAGCTGACCTACACAGGGCGCGGGCTGCCGGCACAGGACCCAGGGGCCCAGGGAATGCTCCAGGTGACCCTGGCTGCCTGCGAACGGCCAAGGCTAGTGGCCGGCGTCCCTGGAAGACTGCAGCGCCCTCTCTGGGCAGACGCAGAGGGGCTCAGACACAACCTGTATTTTTTTCCTTGTGGTCCTTCAAACTCCAACCAGTTTTTGGCTTCTTTCCTGGTGGCTAACTTCACAGTTTAGCATATGAAATGCAGAATTTCGAGACGGAATTGGACTGCGCTCAAGGGAAGGTAGGTGTCAAGCTGGAACCTGGAAGTGATGTGGGTGCAGGAATGGACCAGATTTGGGGGGCCTCTGCACCTTGGCGTGAACGGGGGTTTTTGTGCGGAGTGTAGAATGGCTGTCTTGTATTAGTAAGACTACCATTTGTGGGAGGCGGGGAATATAGATCGGGAGGGTGGATTCACGAGGGTCCTGGGCACCCCAGGGGTTTAGGTGTCCTGTCAGATTTCCTGT